ACCTGGCTGAGAGTTTCTGACGGCAAAAATATATTCTGACGGATTCACATAGATGGTGACAGTTTCGATAGTCAGGATTCGTCTGACCTGGTGCCAGTCAAGTCCTCTTTGAACAAGCAATATCTGGAACATTTTTGGAATTGGGTCAAGTTCAACAATGCCTGGGTCAAAGAAGGGACAGAGCGATGCAAACAGGAAAGTAAGTCATGGTGACTTCGCTGTTACTTGTAACGATGTGTCTGATGTTGAGCATGACATGGTTGATGTTACTGTTTCGCCGTTCACGGATAATAGGAACATCAAACTCCCTAAATTTGAACCACGGTGTTTTGATGGAAACCCGGCTGATTATTTACCATTTGTAAGGGAATTTGAAATCAAGTTGAGTGGTTTTTCATTAAATGATGAAATGAAGTTAATGTATTTATTGAGGTATTGCACTGGAGATGCTTCAAGAGCTATACAGTGCTGTAAGTTTATGAAGCCAAAAGAGGGCTACTACGAGGCTATGAGCATACCACGTCAAAGGTTTGGAAGACCTTCGATGATTGTAGCGAAATTATTCGAGGCTGTTAAGGGTAATGGTGGTCAATTACAGGATGACTCCCAGGGACTCACTGAGTTTTTGGATAATTTGCTGATCTACAAGAATGCATTGATTTCGATGAATTGCATGAGTGACCTCAACTCGAGTTTTATACAAGAAGTAATAGCAAGACGCCTACCTACTCGACTGCAAAGGAAGTGGGTGAAGATAAGCTCCCGTATGGAGGATGAGGGTATCGAGCCAAAATTTGATGATATCCTGAAACTAGTAAAAGATAGTGTCAATCTATCTATGAGCAAGTTCGCCCGTCTATTGCATCTCACCCATAGAATAGAGCAGTCTGAGAGCAAAATGCAATCATTGATGACGAAAGGGCCTCAGAGAGGTGGATATCGAGAAGGCTCCATGATGTCTAGTAATGTATATAGACCTAGTGAGTGTAACAGGTTTCGTAGTACATCCTCAACAGATAAGTTACAAGATGCAAGACAAACACGGTTGTGTTTTACACGTTTGCAAGAGGTGCATACAGAGGTGAACTGTGAACCAGTGAGCAAGTTTTGTGCTAAGCTAAATGTAAACTCCAGGCCTGACTCCGAATCATGTGACGATAACGGTGTGGTCAAGAAGCCTGTAGTTGCAACTGGTAAGCCATTGTTGAATAGAGTGTCACAGAATACAGTTACTGCTTCAGAGTGCAGTTCTGACTCCCCAAGTTTACAAGGTATTACTAGTCAGAGTGAAGGTATAAAATCTTTAGGGATTTGTGAGGAAGAACCCAAATCATCTACTGCTGGTAATAAAGAGTTTTAAAATGATGAAGTCGACCAGATAGATGATGGTAAATTGAATATTTGTGATAATGATCATGATAGTGCACATTTGTCTTTGATTGATCATGATGAAATGGGGGGAATGCCTACTACTGCTAAGTTGAACAAGGGTTCTGTACAACTACAACGTGAAGTAGAATTGAATGCAGATGCAGTTGCAGAAGGCATTCATACTTGTCAAGCCGTCAGTGTAATTGATCAGCGTGTAGCCCACCTATCATCAGATGATAGTGCTAAACCCAAACTAGTAGTGAAAGACAGCAGTGGTGGTAATCTTGCAATTAGACAACTACCTGAATGCCGAACAAGAACAGCTTCTGATCCACCGCTAAGTTCATCAACTTGTGTCACTCAGTCGTCGTTGGTGTTTTCATCCACAATGAAATGGACGTCCATGAACTCACGTGCCTTATGCAATGACTATGATAGTATTGGTGCGTTTGGAAAGACGAAAGATATTGCTCAGTTTAGTGAGGATAAGCCAAGCGTAAACGAGAGAGTAGTTGTTAAATTGACTTGCATGAATAAAGGCATTTCTAGTTTCAACTTACTATTTGAATGCTATTATCGCGGTACGTTCAACGTTTGCGTTACATTTTTACGTGATTCGTTACATAAAATTTATCTTGTTGTAGTACTTGCACAAGTACTATACCACTTCCATACTTGTAACCACTAACTCTTATTTCTAATAGTTATGGTTAATCAAAGTAAAAAGCAGCGAACCCAATCCCCTGTAAAACTGGTGTCTAATTTAACGTCCTTGATTGCTACATCAAGCAACACACCCCCAACAAACGGCTATAGTGAGTCACATAACTCACGTGTATGCCGTAAGCGTCGAGCTGAAACTGAAAATAAAACTGTACTGACAGCCAGTATTAGCACTACTCCTAAAAATTCGGTACCCTCTGCTCATACAGAACTCCTCCCTTCACCTTATGTGCTTATGGAGAAACTCCAGCCATCAAGCTCTTTTTCAGTACTATCTTCAGAAATAGAACTTCTAAAGTTGTCTATAGGAGAACTTAAGGCTGAGTTAAGGGAAATAAAAAACAGCAAGTCAGTAAATGCTGGAAACATCGAAACCAATACCGAGATATCCAAATTATCAGATCAGATCAGCGATATCAGATCGCAGGTCTGTGAACTGACACCTCTAACTATCCTCATGAAAACGGTAAACCTTAACAAGCTTGACACAGAATCGGTAACTAAGGTAGATAACCTCATTAACTTTGTTACCACAGAAGTAACAAAACGACTCGACGCAAAACTGAGTGCTATTGTCTACAACGTTCCGGACAATGAGGCAATAAAAAAGGTACAGCGCATCTTACTTAGTGAAGCGAAAATGCCTAACTCCAAGACTAAGTGCTACAGGCTGAAGAAGAGTCAACATGAAAAGTGTTGTCCTATTCGATTTCAGTTCGAAACACCGGCAGAGACCAGAAAATTCATTCACTCCCAACACACCCTATCGCAAGCCAGAAACTACAAACATATAAAGGTCGGGGTGGACAAAACAGTTATAGAAAGGCGCGCACACAACTATCTCACTAAGACTAATTGTGAAATAGGTAATAGGACATTGCAGCAAGCCATTATCCCCAACCCTGTGAAAGATACAGTAGACCCCACCGCATCACCCCTCTCAAAACACACAGAAATGTCCCATCAGAGTGCAACACCAGCCGAAAGGCCACTAGACTGTAACCAAATAAATAATAAAACCATACCACCCATCACCGCAGAATCTAAAATGCCACTAAATAACCCCAGAAAAAAAGTTAAAACCCCCCGAAACTCGACTTTGTCCTCTCCTAGCTATAATTCCATTGGTAAAGATAAGGAAAATATGCCCCTAAATCATACCAACAAAAACAGTGGCAGCTTAAATAAGCCCACACTCCCCACGGTTAATAGTATTAGCACTCACAACGTGCTAAATCGCACCGTGGCACACACTAATATCCAATGTCACAACGATGTCACCCTAAATAGTACAAGTGGTAACAGTCAGAACTCGGCTACCAACAACTCAGGGTCTTCAGAGTATGGCACACAAACAAATTTCGACCGGATATATGGTACAAGTCTGCTGGGAACTAACCCAAAATGCAGTACACACGAAACCCACACAAGGACACAACTAGCATCAAACAATAGGTGGAATAATAAGCCATGGTCATCACAAGGATCCAATCATTTTTTATCCCCCGCGTCCCTGTCAGCGTTGAAAAAACAGCTGGTAGGGATGTTAACACTCCTAAACCACTAGTGCTGGCTCCCTCCTTGCATGAAAACAGGAACGGTCTAGTGCACCCGTATCCATTGGACACACTTGACACTTGCACAAGTATAGGCCAAATAAAGAACCCTACCCACTTCTGTAACCTAACTAAAAATAAAAGTTCCTTAGTCTATAGCAAATCCAGTACTCCAACTCCTAATTCTCCACCGAAAACAGCACACAACAACTCGATAGACATAGGTGAGCATGATGCTGGAACTCCTCTTAACATAGGATCGTCATGTCCAGCAGAACTACTGGGTGCTGAACCATATTCGGGGCTGACTAACGAACTTAAATACTTCAAATGCTACTTCAACTCTCATCTTTACGTAATCCTCATAAATGCTAGATCTGTTCTAAATAAATTGCCGATGCTCAGAGCACTCACAGTAATATACAAACCCCCTGTAATTGTCATCACTGAATCTTGGTGTCATTCGGACATCCTGGATGATGAAATAAGCTTAGATAACTACACACACTTTCGGTGTGACAGGGAAGGTGGTAAGGGAGGGGGTTGTCTCATGTACTTCTTGAATGAACTTACTGTATCACAGCTAGAAAGTAGTACACTTAACATGCCTGAGACTCTATGGGTTAATGTACACTTAAATAACGTAACAGCACTAATTGGATGCTCCTACAGAGCACCTGGCACCTTTAGTAATTACGAGACCCAACTCATTAATACTCTGGAGCAATTAACCGACTTACAATACGATCATAAGATCCTATGTGGGGACTTTAACTTACCTGAAATCAACTGGGATATACCCACAGGTCCAACTAAATTTGATAAGTTCTTAGACACACTGGATATACTTGGCTGGAAACAAACTGTCACTACTCCCACAAGAGGTAACAACGTACTAGACTTAATCTTCTGCCACAATATAAGCCCCCTTTCAACGCTAGTAGGTTCTGAGTTCCCAGGGAGCGACCACAAAACAGTAATGTGTGCACTGCCAATTCCGCTGAGTAGCAATGCATCTCATACCTCCACTTCACAACAAGTAATATATAGGAACTATAGTAAGGCAAACTGGGCCTTAGTTGAATCGATGCTAAGATCCTCCAAATGGGATGAATACTTCACTACTGATGACCTATCGAGAGCCCTAACCATCTTCTACCATAACTCAAACATATGCTTAGATGCTGTCATTCCACTCCAAACACTAAAGGTTTCCCCACACAGAAAGTCATTCATAAAACCAAAGGATCGTAAGAAACTGAAGAAACTCTCAACAAGTTACTTCAAACACCACGACTTTGGCACTCTAGGTCTAATACTTAAAACCCTTAGCTCCATCACACAAGCTCAAGATTTCCGTATGAGAAAGGAAGAACGCATCGCAGTAGCCAGTCCTGCTAGAGCGTATGCACTCACAGAAATCTTAAGGAAGCGAATGAATCGCAAAAATCACAGCATTCCTCTCCTCATAGACAAAGGCAGGCTATGCACTAACTCTGCAGACATATGTGAACTATTCAACAAAACGTTTGCAGGTAACTACCTTAAGCCCTCAGTCCAGCTACTCGATATACACCCTATTACTAAAATGGCACCAACTCCACTGACACCAAACCAAATTAGCACTGTTCAATTCACTTACGCTGACATTAACCAAACTATAAGAACCCTCAAAAGTTCAAAAGGTTTCGGTACCGACGGTATATCATCTTACTTCTATAAATATGGTGGCCCTGACATTCCTCTACTACTGCTTAAAATATTCACAATGTCCCTAGAAACCCAAACTTACCCTGACATATGGAAGACTACATTCATTATGCCTAAACACAAATCTGGCTCGAAAACTGAAGTCAGTAACTACCGGCCAATCAATATCACACCTATAGCATCTAGAATCATGGAGAGACTAGTCAAAAATAACCTAATCAAACACATGCTTAGCTGCAACATCATAAGTCCGAACCAACATGGATTCCTGAAATCCAGATCATGTTTAACATGTCACCTAGACTTCTTCAATTTTGTAACCAGCAGTCGTGACAGACGGCAACTAGTACTTGTCATCTACTTTGACATTTCTAAGGCATTTGACCGTGTTGACCATTTACTGCTAACAAATAAACTGAACTCCTTAGGAATACGTGACCCATTATTAGGATGGCTTAAATCATTCCTTAACAATAGGTCCCAAATAGTTAAACTCGGGTCTGCAACCTCCAAACCTAGCCCTATCACTTCTGGTGTAGTACAAGGTAGTGTCATTGGACCCCTCCTATTTACACTATACATCAATGACATATGCGCTTGCTTCACGCACGGGAAACCATTCATCTTTGCAGATGACCTAAAAGTAGCTTATACATTCCAACGTGATGACTTAGGGAACTTCGAGAATGTAGTACAGAAGGAATTAGATAAAATGGCTGCTTGGTCGTCCCTATGGAATCTCCAATTTAATCTGAACAAATGTGGCTGGATCTGCTTCGGTGCACCCTCAATCGACCTGAAATTAACGCTCCAATCTGCTAACCTAACAAGACTCCGAAATGTCGTTGACCTAGGCCTGAGGTACTCTAGTGACTTGACATTCTCAGAGCAAGTAGCATCACAGACTAGAAAATCGAGGATGCTCTTAGGATGCATACTCAGGAACTTTCACGACAATGAAGCCAAGCTAATTCTGTACAAAACATGTGTCAGACCACTACTAGAATACTGTCCATTTATTATAAGCAGCACTCGCACACGTGACAAGCTAAGGATGGAAAGTATCCAACGATATTTTACCTCAAAACTGCTTGGCTACGATTGTAAGGAAGACTACATCTCACGGTGCATGATCCTAAAACTCGACCCACTTTGGACAAGGCGACTTATTATAAACCTAATATTCTTCTTTAAGGTCCTTCACAAAATATCTTTCTCAGGTAACAGGGACATACAATTCGCACAGGAAGGTTCTTACGATCTGCGTAACCAAACTTCCACAGTGACAACTCATTCTTTTAAGTCAACACTCCGTGAAAACTTCTTCACAGTCATGTATTCTAAAATATGGAATAGCCTACCCCTAGATATCAGAACTTGCTCTTCGGTTACAAGCTTCAAACGCTCTCTATACAGACTGTTGCACTCTACAGATTATATTAATAAACTATTTACTCCTAGAACGAATCAAGCACTAATCTACTACAGCACCTAAAAGACGCACTTCAACACCCTTAGCAATCTTTAAACTATAAATAAACTAGCAGCATGGATGCATAAAGACATAGTACGGAACATACAGGATTAGTCTACCCTTAGAAATAGGACCTATCCCTCATTGTAACCTTCAAACGCTTGCTATGTAAACTGTTTTATTCTAAAGACTATCCCTACCAGAACCCATTACTTATTTCTAAAACGCATCAGTCATTAGAACAATAAAAACGCTCAGACTATTAATACACATTATGACATTAAATAAACTCTAAGACTTCGCATAAATACGTGAAAACGCAGATACAATATAGAAAAATGTTTACTTAAGTATAATTAAGATAAACATTTATAAATGAATCATGTATTAATGTTCTTTTCATGTTCACATACTTTCTCTTTCTGGTATTTTGCTGCTCCTATTCATCTTCTGGTCGAGGTCGAACAACCCTGCATCTAAACTGAAATGAGGATTAATTCCAAACCGTCTATCTCATAACCACTCAAATTCCATGAACGATCCAATTCTACCATTTGAAGACGCTGGCGAACATGCTGTAAATGAGTATTCATGATCTGAAATGAAGAAGCAACTGGTTTTCAAACAGTTTTCAACGTTTTACTCAACTTACGAATACAGTCCGCCATGCAGACACAAATGGAGCAAATGGAGGATTCTGGAATCGACCTCGGCACCATTTGATGCAGTAAAACAACCCAACATGACCTTATTTAGTTTTCGTATCCACGATCAAATTTCTTTCCTGTTATGAAACTACGATAAGAGTGCTGAAAAAATGGAATAAATATATCACTGATCTCAACATAATACATCAATAATCTTTAAGCCATGGGTGCTGCTCACAACAAAGTTATATAAGAGAATTGACTTCAAGCTTTATTTTTCCCAGATATCTGTATTACATTCATCTGATGTCTGGGTTTTTTGTTAATGCGAAGACAATATTTCTATATCTCTTTATGTGCTACACAAACAGACTTTATAGCAGACTGTTCCTACTGACTCTAATGTCAGAAAGAACAACCAAACTGTAAATTCATTATACATTAAATTGTGTGTAATTTATATAATAACTTATCCATGCCTGTACAATTGGTATGTTCCTGCATAAACAGGAAGAAATATATATATATATCTTTGGTGCAAATTACTCTGTGTCTACGCTTGGTTGGTCAGATACGTCGTGTGTTTGTTCGTCATCTATATTCTACGATACAATAACATGAGCGTGTTACCGTTCAGATTTGAGGATATAGCTGATAGAAGGAAGTTAGCAAATGAACTCTGCGACGATTTTCCAACCTAGAACGTCAACCCGACAAGGGTTGTAGGCGTACTGGTGTAAGTCCTACAGTTCTTCAAAGGGTAGCGCATCAATGAGCAGTCCAATGTGCTTGGTGTGTGATTTTGTACATATGTTGATATTGTATATACTGAATTGATATCATCTGCCATCTAGCTGTTGGTGATTCTGTTTGTGTTCGTATTGCTTCCACTTGGATTATCAACCTGAGAAGGAATGTAGGCGTACTGCTGTAAGTCCTACAGTTCTTCAAGGGTAGTTTTTCATGCCGGAATCTACCACATTTGATGTGTTGATTGTACATATGTTTGTGTTAAATAATTGTGTGAGTTCCAATTATTGTAATTGTTGGTTAATCTTGTTTGTGTCCGGACATTCCACAACCTACAATCGTCAACCTGAGAAGGGTTGTAGGCGTACTGGTGTAAGTCCTGCGATTCTTCAAAGGAATTCCATCGAGATACGATCTGCGAGTTTGTGTGTACTGTTTGTATATACGTGTGGTGTGTCATATCAATTTGTGATTTTGGATTAATTGTGTTTACTCGTTGTTTTCGTATCTTGTTGTTATTGCGTAATTTTGTTAAAATTTTCGTCGTGATTACTTCTGAAGTTGTTTCGAGTCTTCTACATCCGTGTATGAATTGATTGATGTTAGAGACAGCAGATGGGTCGTATACGCCGGGGAGGCTAGGCTATTGCTGAGAATGAAATGCACACGGAGATAATTGTTAGGTGCGGTCCCACACGCCGGGGAGAAAGAGTGTGAACGACTGAGGCTCGCATACGTCATCGTTACTAGAACTGAGGCAGAATGAGTGACAAGCGATTGCAGTGGTGATTGGTAGTGAGTAGATAAGAGGATGAGCGTAGAGTATCGTGAGGTGGTGCTATGGTCACGTTGCATTCTGCAAGAGTCATTCTAGCAAGTGGCGATTGTGTTGCGAGATGTCAAGAGGAGGTCTCTGTCTGGAGGCGCAGGTCGTCAGCGATGTGTGATATTGTGCTGTGGGTCTTCTTGTGGTGTGTTGGCTTTTCTGTTTGTTTTCCATTTCAGCTCTGTCCGTGTGACCCAGGTTCTCGCAATGGCATCCAAGTCAACGTGCATTGGTCGTGAAGGGAAAAAGGGTTGGATCCTTTTTTTGCCGGGGAGTGTCAATGGAGTTGAAGATTGAACGATCAATTCATGGTTGTTTGCTCAAAATCAACTTCCCCAATTTTCGCGGAGGCATCAATACGACAGTCATCGTCTCATCAGTCGCTGTTCAGAAAGAAGTCAGTAGAAAACCGTCAGAAGTAATATTGTGATTTATTATTGTAATATTTGTTCACAGACCTTAGTTGTAACATTGTTTATATGTTGGTGTTGCAATAAAGTATTCTCGAGTGGCCAATTGGTGTTTTGGTTTTTTCGTCCGTTATTACTAAGCATTTCTGAGAAACTTCAAGGAACAGCGTGAGCCCGAGTTTAGCAAGAGCTTGGCATTTTCTGTTTACGTGGCGTGGCTGACACAGGGACTGGAAGGAGGCCATTATAAGCCTTATCTTCAAAGGGAGGAATAGGTAACTGTTATCTAGGTACCGGCCGTATATCTGACTTGCAATACAGGAAAGGTATTGGGAACAATTACCATTGATCATCTACGAGCTCATTTGGAAAGGCGTGGGTGGTGAATCTGTATGGTTGCCTACAAGGACTATCCTGCCTGACAAATTTATTACTGGCTATGGTAGACTGGGTTTAGGCCAGAGATAAAGCGCTGTTGAACATGGCTTTTTCGATCTTAGTAAGGCATTCGATAAAGTATCCCAATTAGGTCTCCTTAGTAAACACAAACGTTTTGGACTATACCAACGCTTATGCGAGTGGTTTAGGTATAGAAGGCAATTCCTGTTGTGCTTTAATGAACTACCGGGTATTCTTACTCCGTCTTCATTATTATTTGCTGACGACAATAATGTCTGGAAAACTGGCAATAATAACAATGATAGGTCGGCCCTACAAAGTCATCTAGATAAATTGGCTGATAGGATGAACATGTGGAGCTTGGAAATTATTTCTACGGAAAGCGCGGTGATGCGCTGAGGTCAGAAGTCTTATGCGTCGTACTCCCTAAGGGGCGTAGAACTACCTGATGTTAACGGACAGGACCTAGAAATCATTGTCAGCAGTGATTTGAAAATAACTGCAAATTTCAAGGCAGCCTCAGCTCGGGCTTTCAAATGCTATGGGAACACCGAAGAGGTTCGAAACGATTAGATAAGTCTATGTTCAAAGTACTTTACGCAGCACATGTTAGGCCTATTCCACTATACTATCCTGCTCAGGAAGCATAACTACATCAAAATCATCTAGAATACTGAACATAAGCGGCTAGTTCATGCTTCAAGAAGGAGGAATATATCTTAGAAAGAGTACAAAGGGTGGGAACCAAAATAGTAAGCGGTATCTTGCACCTTCCTTGTGACAAATTGATGGAGCATTTAAGTCTCTTACAATAATTATACCGAAGGAAGGGAGGCGAATTAATTTTAGCCTACGCCATACATAAGGGCGATTCCATATTAGTTTGTTTATTAGATATATCACACATTGAAACAGTATTATTTGCTGGATGAAGTTTCGAAAAAAATTTATTGTTCATGGAGATAAGTACAAACTTCTCATAGGCTGTGTTTATCGAGCACCAAGCTCAACAAAAGAAACTGATGCGTTATTAGCTAAATCGTTCTCACATGCCTCCTCGTTTAGTGCTAATTACAAAATAATTGCAGGGGACTTCAATCTTCCAGAAGTCATTTGGCTAACTAGTTCCGGCCCCCAACGCTTCGACGAATTACTTGCCACTATCGACTGTTATGGATGGCAACAACACGTCCATGCACCTACTCGTGGTGACAACATGTTGGACCTTGTTTCTTGTCATGACACAATCCCAGTATCCACGAATGTTGGTAATCGATTTTCCAGTAGTGACCATAGAATGGTACTCTGCTCTCTGCCTTTCTCACCACTAAATACAGGAAACAAACAAGATTCAGGAAGCACAATATGTCGTAGTTACAAATATACAGACTGGGGATTAGTCCAAGAACTTATTCGACTCTGTCAATGGGATGACTATTTTACCACTGACTCCCTGGAGGCCTTAGTAACCTTGTTTTACAGGAATGTTACCCTTTGTCTAGATACAGTTGCTCCAAAGAAAATAGTGAAATTAAGTAGACACCGAACTGAATATGTTCCAAGGGCACACCGTAATAAGTTAAGGAAGCTGAAGAAACAGTACTATTCCACTAAGGATATATCACTACTGCTCTCAATCCACGAGTCTCTTGAATGTCTCAAGCGCCTACGCTCTCAAAAGGACCTCGACGAAGAGTTAACGGCACTTGAAAGTACCTCCAAAGTTTATAACTTAACGGCACTTCTTAAAAAACGGATGCAGTCGGCGAGGGAAATCCCCTACTTACTTCACGACAAAGTAATCTACAATGAACCTGCCACTATCTGTGAACTTTTCAGTGATTGGTTTGCAAACTTTAGTTTAGAAACACATATGCCTGGTGAAACCGCTCCCCTTACTATCTCTTCCCTTGAAAGCATTGTGTTCACTAATCAATTAATAGTACAAGCAATTAAAAGCCTTAAACCTTCCACTAGTACGGGACCGGATGGCCTAGCTTCGATAATTTTCAAAAACAGTGGGTGTGATATACCCTTGTTACTTCTTAAATTCTTCTCAATATCTATGGACACTGGCACTTACCCTAGTGAGTGGAAAACTAGCTTCATAATTCCACATTACAAATCTGGTGATAGGGCAAACGTCCGCAATTACAGACCCATAAATATAACCCCAGTTATCTCACGAATCATGGAGAAAGTTGTAAAAGATCAATTGTCAGACTACCTAATTAGGGAAGATCTTGTTACAAGGTCTCAACACGGATTTCTCAAAAACAGATCCTGCGTTGCTTGCCACTTCGACTTTTTCAACTGCATCACTAGCAGTCGCGAAGCACGTAAGCTAGTCGTTGTTCTCTACTTCGATATATCTAGGGCATTTGACATGGTATCTCACAGTATTCTCTTTGAGAAGCTGTACTCTTGTGGAATTCGCAACCCATTACTGAACTGGTTAAAATCATTTCTAAGCAACAGGGTACAAATAACCAAAGTTGGATCTGTATTGTCTCATCCTAGGCAGATCTCAAGTGGGGTCGTGCAAGGTAGTGTCCTAGGTCCACTTTTATTCACAGTCTACATTAACAGCATTTGCAAGTGCTTCACCTCAGGTAAACCACTCCTATGTGCTGACGACCTCAAAGTCGTCTACTCCTGCTACACTCATGAATTAAGCGATATGGTTACTAAAATACATCTTGAACTAAGTAGCCTTGCAACGTGGTGTGCTGAATCCTGTCTAAACTTTAACATTGACAAATGCGGCTGGATTTGTATCGGCAACAGTAAGCTTGATCTAACTCTTGAAATAAATGGGCGAAAACTAGCTAAGCTCAACTCAGTCGTAGATCTCGGTATTAGATACTCTAGTAACCTAACGTTTGCTGAACAGACTGATTATGCCAGACGTAAAACGCGAAGGCTGATAGGATGCATAACACGTAATTTCTTTTGTTGCGAAACTAGGGTTTTATTATACAAAGTATGTGTCCGACCTATCTTAGAATACTGCCCATTTATTCTTAGCGGACTCGGGCAAAATGACAAGCTTAAGTTAGAGGGAGTGCAACGGCAGTTTACCTCAAGAACTCTTGGTTTAGAAAGTGGTCTGGAATACCATGAGCGATGCGAAAGACTAAGGT